GACCTAGCCTGAGAAACAACCTCCATTCCCAAAGTGTTCGTAACTCTGAGGTTCTACTGTACTGATAACATTTCTGCATTTAACAAACATGGCTGTTGTAAAAGTCTGTAGATTTTTATCTGGATGATTTACAATTGAGTAGAATACTAAAAAATCTCATGAAAGCATTAGAAAGTACTGTGCCAAAGAACTAGTTTGTTTATAACGAGAATTGTTACCAAATTTTTACTTCAGGTGCTGCACCTTATGAATAAAATGAATCTGCCCCCTCCCTTTGGACCCATTACTGCTCGACCACCCATGGTAAGAAATTTTGTATGTTACATTTAATATGTGTGCCTTGTTCTAGGAGGTTCATCAGTATTTGCTGTTGATTAGACATTTGTGCAGCTGTTGGATGTGTTGGCATGGGCTCCAAACTGGTGTATATCTATTTTCTGTTGCAAGGAAAACTGGATTTTCCAACAGTATGAGATGAAAACCAATGTGTTGTGACATTTTAGTAATATCTTCAGAATATTTCAAAAATAACGGAGGGCAGTAAAATGGAGATTACGGTAGTGCAAACAATATCTTGTAGCAGTTATAGGAAACATGAAAATCATTTGAATACCACACGGTTAGTCTATTGCATAAGCAACACATGAAATGTTCTTTGATCTATGCATTTGTAGAGAGTTTTTATGAGATTCTGACTGCTGATGTGAAAACCACATAATCACTCACTTTGGCCCTAGGATTTCATAGGTTGTTATGAAGGGGAAGAGAGAGGGAGGACCTGAATCTATGGCTCCAATTCTCCACTATGTCTGGATAGAGGGAGCTGGCTCTAGCTCCCCGTCTCCAGCAGATGTTAGAGCTTCGGCAGGCTTACTGTAAGTTGTGCCATTGGCAGGATCCGGCATAGGGAAGCTCAGGTCCAATACATCCCACAGGTTGCCCTGGCATACCACCACTTTCTGCTTTTTCAGGGATTGGGAGGGTAGTTTCTTTAGGAGGTTACATGATGCACAGTAAATTTAGCAGACCAGTAAATTTTCCCTGTTATTTTTTTTTTTGTAAACTACCCTGTGCATCTTATAGGACAGGATCAAATACTAGGAATGTTATGATCAGGTAAAAATTAGTAACCGTTCAAAAGACCCAGTCTCTAAAGTGCTGAGCAGCTTCTATAAAGAACTGAATGTTTTCATTTTCATTGACTTCAGCAGTTTTTGCAACTGTCCCCATGTTTGTTCATCCAAGTGGCTGTAAGCTTTACAGTAAAGTGCACTGGGAATCCTATTGGGGTGAGGTTATTTTGGCAGGAAACTGCTCAGAATATTCCTACAGTAATTTCATCTCTGTAATCAATAACTAATCCTTACTACACCTGTAGCTAAGTAAGTGTTATCCCTATTTATAGAGGGAAGGAGTTTATGGCTTGTTCAAAGTCAGAGGAGATTCAGCATAATAGCTAAGATTAGAATTTGAGAGCATCTGTCTTCCTGTTATATGCTCAGACCATGTTCCTTTCTAGTCTGTAAAACTAAGAATGGAAAAGCAAAACTTCTGGAGAAGCTAGCTGTTTTTCCTTCCTTAGTTTCTGAAGTGCTCTAATTAATCTTTTCTTTCCCCCATCCTTTACTCCCAATCTTAATTTGAAGAATTAAGTATTTTGTTACTATTTTTGAGTTTGAATTTTGATGTAAAATTCTCATGAAACTGAATTTGTCAAGAGTGAGTAGATAGATCTCAAACATCTTGTTTTGAAAAGCTTTCTTTGCCATCTGCCTGTTTATCACATTTGAAGCTTCTTATTTATGCAGAAGAAATTAAAACATACATTTTTCCAAAATGAGTGTTTAAAGACTTCAGTTTTATGTCTTTCATTGATTAGTATGAAGAATATTTACCAGCGCCTGTGCCGCCGCCACCTATCCCACCACTGCCTCCGGAGGAGCCTCCTTTGCCTGAAGAAGAGGAAGATCAGGAATCTAGCAGAGAAGAATCTGAATATGAAAGTGCTGATGAGGAAGAAAAGGAGAGGTTTGTAATTATAATCGGTAACCAATCATGCTTTAAAAAAAAAAAAAGCTGTTCTTGTAGGTCTCAATCCAGCCAAAATATCCTCTGTGCTTCCTGGCCCAGAGAAGCTCCAATTTTGTGACTGAATATCCCCAGCTATTCTAATATGTAGGTGGCCTTTCCAGACATAAATTTTAAAGAAGCTGCAGTTCTTAATATTCTCCCTAAGGCTGACAGTACTCTTCTGAAAGTCAGTCAGGGCAAGGATGAATATGGTCATGTGGCTTAAAAATTAACATTACTAGTTTCCATACACTTTTACTCTCCCAACTCTTCCAAAATTCCTATTGAATAGGGAGGATCTCTTATCTGTTAGGGAAGACACACAGAAAATCTAGTCTGCTCTGGAAGTGATGTCAGCTTTCTACCCACCTGCATGCTGAGTGTTCAGTCCCATATCTGGGGGGATTAACAGAGCTCTATACTGAATATGATGCAGGAGGTGCAATGCTCATTTGCATGTGGTCTCCTCTCATTAAGTAGCTGTGCCACTTGCTTTTGATTTTGGATTGGCTCTTTTATTTTATGACATTTGTGGAAAACTGACTTTCTCTAGCCCTCCACCCCACTATTATCCTGCATTGAAGCTGGTGTCAAGGGCTTGCCTGACTTACAAGGCCAGAAATTGATTATATATTATATGCATTATGCCATGTATTATGTGGGATTAGGCCTTTTGGGCAGTCTTTAAAAATATTTCTCACTGCTAATCTGTTGCTTCCAATTTAAAAGTATCTAAAATTCCTTGAAAGAATTTAACTAATCCTAATTAGAACAAATACTTTTAACATTACTTTGAGTAAAGATTTCCGTTTATGACTCATAATACAGTAATGAAACTTCTGTTTCTTGTAAATTTACCTTTTTTTACTTTGGTGAATGATTTAGGCAGATTTTATACATCCTTTCCTCATGCCCGAGTAGTACTCTAATTTAATAATCCACATTCTCATCAATCTAAATGTTCTACAGTAACATTATTTACTGTATAATAAGTAATGTGTAGCTGCATTCTGCTAGTGTATCACAAATGTGTGGGATATAATAGAACAGTTCAACACATTTGAGTTTCAGAAGTCCTGGTCAGAAATAAGAGGCTACATTTCTAAGATGGCATCTCTAGATTAAAAACTAAACTGTTTTGAATGTCTTTATTGTATTTCCAATTTAGAATGACTAAATTGATGGAATTAGCAGCCATTCAGCCTAAAAGACCAATATCCACAAAGCAGCGTAGTGTGAGAAAAAAGCAAAAGATAAAAGACTTGTTGAATGCTCCCACATCTGCTCCCCACAGGTATTTGTATTATTATTATTATTATTTGTATTTCTGTAGTGCTCATCGTGTACTGAGTATAAGGAATAATCACAAAAAAGTGCCTTGCTCAAGATTTTTTTATTTTTCTACCTCAGAACTTTTAATACAGAGTGTCCTACTGCAAGATGAAGTGCTGTGGGTGGTCCCTTTCAATTGTTACTAAAACTTCCCTGAACAGATGGCACTTGTATCATGCTCTGAAGTCTCCAAGACTTGAGCTTTCCTTGATCTCAAGCTAGTTCCACAGCCATGGACCCTTTATTGAGACTGTTGTTCTGGTCTCTACCATATCTGTTTGTTTCTATCAATTTGTTTTATATCAAGTTTGAAATAGATCTGAACAGAACCCCCGTTTTCTCCTCTACCCTTCTGGCTAAAGGCTGGAACATGGATCTGAATAGGCTTAGGCCATCTCTAGTAGAAATATGAAAATACAGAAAATAATATTGTTTAAATGCTTTAGCATTTCCAATTTTATTCCACTGTGTCCCTAAAAAACAGAAGTAATATTTTGATCTCCTGACAATCAACTGTTTAAAAATGTATTTATACAAGTATATTCACTTTTCCCTGCACACCTGAAGAAAACTAAATGGCACATTTTTATACTGTGTTAGAATAGCCGAGGACACTTGTTGTTGTTTTTGCTTTGTGGTCCGTTTAAATAATATATGACAGTTCCGCTGTTGCAGAGCTCTAATAGAAAACTGTGAAGGAAAGAAAAAAATCACTTAATTTTCACTTGGCTTATTTGAGGAAAAACTTGTCTAGACTTATTTTTGTCCTGGTGATTTAAGAAATTGGTCATTAAAGATGAGTTGCAAAAGATTTTTTTCAAAAATTGGGCTGTGCTCTTTTCTGCTTCTTTAAGATGAAAGCCTGGAAGTTTTGGAGGGTGGGTTGCGGGGGTTATTGTGGTTTAAAATATTTTTTTCTACTTAGACCAATTTAGTTGATACTGTTTAACACCTTCTAAAATTCTAATTCAGATAAGGCAAGTTGTAATTTAGCATGTGCCAAATTGGTGCACTTAAAGCTTAGGCTCTCCCCTAGACATTTAACTTGATAGATTGCTAAAGTACAGCTTGCCCTTTCTTTACTAGAATTGTACATGTTGTTAGTTAAAGTGAATTAGCTAACATGATCTGACATCACACCTTTAAATCCTGGTCTAGAAATAGCCCTGGAAACATCAGGGGTGTTAAGTCTGGTCTTCCATAGTATTGCTGAAGGGCCCTTGTGGAATCTTAAAGTACAATTAACGTGCGCCCACGCACTCTAATTGAAAGAATGTTGGTGCTGAATATTTAACAAAGATGTCTTTTACCCAAAATGTTTACCAGTCATTGAAGCCAAATACAGTCTGCTTCTCCAATCATTTGCTTACCTTACATTCTTAGTTCTTGTTATGTCGTTATATCATTTGTTCTCACTCATGAGAGAATCTTCCAGCGAAGAGAGGACCTGTTTTCTAATATAAAAGACTCATAGACTTTAAGGCTAGAAGGGACCACCACTGTCATGTATTCTGATCTCCTGCACATTGCAAGCTACAGAACCTCACTCATGCACTCCTATAAAAGGCCCATAATCTCTGACTGAGTTACTGAAGTCCTCAAATCTTGATATAAAGACTTCGCATTACAGAGAATCTATCGTTTACTCTAGATCAAACCAGCTAGTGCATCCAGTGCTGCAGAGGAAAGCAAGCTCCCCTCTCTTCCCTGGGTTTTCGCCAATCTGACTTGGGGCAAAATTGCTTCCCGACCCCAAATATGGTGATCAGTTAAACCCTGAGGATGTGGTGACACCCAACAGCTGGACATCTGGGAAAGAATTTTCTGTAATAATTCAGAGCTCTCCCCATATAGAGTCCCATCTCCAGCAGACGTGGATGGGCTATATGTCATTTTAGGCAATCTCGTCATAGCATCCCCTCTCTAAACCTATGCTAAGTCTAGAAACAATTTAGATTTTTTCCCCCCACTTCTCCCTTTGGAAGACTGTTCCAGAACTTCAGTCCTTTCATGGTTAGAAACATTCATCTAATTTTGAGCCTAAGATTGAAGCTAAGCTTTTTAAAAAAAAAAAAAACTAATATCTTTTCAACTCTCCTTTGTGTAGAGACCCAAAACAAGCCTAATTTATTTTCCTTGGTATGCAATCTTTAAGAAAGTGTATTTGGTTGTGCCTCATATTATTCCATTTAATATTTCTCTTAAGATAATTTTCCTTTGTATGTGAGTCTACCTGTAGTGTAAGGTAATTTCTGGTCTTTGTTTTTTCTGTTTGCCAACTAAACGTGTCTCATCACTGATAAACTAAATGTAACCCACAAAAAGTTAAGTCTAAAGTTTAAAGTTCTTTTGGAAACAGAAAACTGATGTGCTAACGGTAAACAGCATGAAATATAGTTGGAAAAGATGCATATATTTTGTTTGACTTTGTCTGTTCCATTAACCATTTAAACTTTAAGTGAGATTGAAATATTGTTGTTTTAAACAGTAATCTGCACCCTACACTATCACCTTCGGATGTGTTTGAGCAGCTGCAATCTGTTGGTCATAAAAAAATTAAATTCCAAATTTCTGCAGACATTCCGGATGTTCTTCAGAAAAGCTTAGAGAGAGACCAAAACAATGGTAAGAATGCTTATCATTAAATTCTTCTGTTAAATATTGTGAAATATTTTAAGATGCAAAGAACAGGCAAGATAATATGTATATAACAACATCATATATGAGTTCAATATTTTTATGTTCTGTGACTTGGAGAATGACGACTCTGTAAATAGTGCTGGTTTATTTTTATATTTATTTAATGTGAGTTTTCTTTTAGGGAATTCAACCCTAAGGCCTAGTCTACACTTAAATTTTGGGTCGACATAGCTGCGATGCTCAGAGGGTGAAGAGCTATGCTGACCTAACACCTTGTGTAAACTCCCATCTGTTGGGGAGACAGTGTTCCTACAGCGATGGAAAAACCTCTTCTATCACTGTAGGCTGCATCTATGCTATGGCATTATGGTGGCATAGCTACAGTGCCATAGCAATGCCACCATGCTCACCACAGTGTAGCATGTCATTCAATCAGTAAACCTGCCTTAAATTTCACTTTTTTCAGGAATTCTGTCTTTTACAAGACTCTGTTCAGTTTCAATTCAAAATGCAGGATGGGGGTGGGATTTTAAGGCTCTAAGATTGCCTCATCAACACAAGATGATGTATTATCTTTGTCTTTTTAAAGTGAATTATGTGTTTTAAATTTTTTAACAATCTTACAAATTATGCTGAAGACTTCATATGGTGTAAAGAGGCATTTCAGGACACTTAGTGTGTGCTTCAGCTTCTTTTTCAGATCTTTGAAGAGAGCAGCCTTCCTGTAGTTGTCAGTTTCTGTAATGCCCCAATGTGCACTTTGTTCATTATGCCCCACACTATAAAGACAGTTATAGCGTTATTTCCCAATATTATGAAGTTCCTGTAGATATTCTTATGGAATATAAAATGAGAATTTAGAAAACCTTATAAAACAGCGTAATGATGACAAGAGGGAAAAATGGGTCTTGCTGAAAGGTGTTTTCTCCAGTAAAGTAAATGTTGGAGCATTATATGAAGCAGATGTCTTCTGTCAAAGTAGGTATTAGGACACGTTCTTCATGCATCTGCAAAAGACAAATAATCATTATGTATGTACTAAAATTCCTTTCTATCTTGACTTGTATTCAGAACTTAACCCCTTTAAAACATCATGATTTTCTGGCTTGCAGTCCATCCCTTCCCCCCTTCTTTTGGAACGTGAATCAACTCTTACAAACATTGAGTACAATGTTATATTCAACTTTCAGATCTTTATGCAACTTCAGAAGAAATAACTAATGCAGGATTTGGAAAGATCTTCCCAGCTCCTAGCTCTAATGATAAAGAGGACACAGAAGAAGAAGAAGGCGATGATGAAATACCATCAGAATTTGTTTCTAGAAGGGAATTGGAAAAAGGCAGACTTTCTAGAGGAGGTATTTTCTTTAGATTAGATTCTATTTTAACTATTGTGTACAAATCAATATTTTTAAATTATTGATACTTTGTTTAAATTTTTAAGTTACATTACTGTTACATAGTCTATAATTTACTATTTGTGTTGTAAGATATTTGTTTTTGTTACAATGTATATTTTTTTTAAATGAGGTTTTAAAAAGCAGTGAGATGAAGATTTATTAAGTCATATAACATGCATATTGATTATTTTCCCCCATCATTCTGTCGTGGTCAAGAAATGGAAAAACTTTCCATTTTCAAAAACTATGAGCCAGGTGATCCAAACTGCAGGATTTATGTGAAGAATTTGTCAAAACAAGTTCAAGAAAAGGTGAGTAAAGATTTATGAAAATGTTCTGTTGTTTTTCTTTGTTTGCTGTCTTTCCTTACACACCCATTTTAATTTCAGGATCTCAAGTTTATTTTTGGAAGATATGTTGACTTTCAATCAGAAACTGAACGAATTATGTAAGTTATTTCAATTCTTAGTAAAATTAAACTGTGCACTAACTTTTACAGCAATAGTGAAAACTACAGTTAAAGTTGCAGTCATTTTGAGCCCCTTGATGCTAATTGTTAGGGGAGAGTAGAAATTTTTGAATACAGTTATTACGTATTTTATCTGGAAGCGGTGTGCCTACTAACAGAATATTTTTTTGATACCTACTGCATAACAGTGTGGAAGGACTCGGTACTTTTTTTTTTCTAATGCAACATTTATAATTTACTTGGTGTGCACACAACTGCCACCTACTGAGTGGAGTGGTACGTTTGGGTATAAAAACCCTGTACTGTGCCTTTAGAACACAGAGCCGAATCCCAGTTCCTGATATCGCTGGATTGGCCAAAGTGTACAGCATTGTAATGATTGAAGTCCTAGGTGCTTATGCATCTGTTAAATCAGTGTTTCTCAAACTGGGGCCGCCACTTGTGAAGGGAAAGCCCCTGGCGGGCCAGGCCAGTTTGTTTACCTGCCCCATCTGCAGGTCCAGCCGATCGCGGCTCCCACTGGCCACGGTTCGCTGCTCCAAGCCAATGGGAGCCGCTGCAAGCAGCGCGGGCTGAGGGACATACTGACCGCCGCTTCCAGCAGCTCCGATTGGCCTGGAGCAGCGAACCGTGGCCAGTGGGAGCCATGATCGGCTGGACCTGCAGATGGGGCAGGTAAACAAACCGGCCCAGCCCACCAGGGGCTTTTCCTACATAAGCGGCGGCCCCAGTTTGAGAAACACTGTGTTAAATGTTTGGTTGTGTATGCAGTATTTGTTGCAGTAGTACAGCAACTTGCTGTCCTGCCTTCTATTGGTGATTTTTTACAAATTGCTAGTAAGTTTGTCTTGAAAAATATAACCGTGTCTAATGACATAACCCTGTCTGTATCAGAATGTAGGCATCAGTGCCACTTCCATTCGCTCCTCAACTTGCAGCATGTGAAATTTATGCCTATTGTAAATTGTGATGGAGATGGGGTAAAATTTAAACCTTTCATCCATTTCCCAATTTTATTTCCAGGTTTGACATACGTTTGATGAAAGAAGGTCGCATGAAAGGACAGGCTTTCATTGGCCTTCCTAATGAAAAATCAGCTACCAAAGCCTTAAAAGAAGTAAATGGATATGTTTTGTTTGAAAAGCCCATGGTGGTTGTATCCTTTTCCGAACATTTTCATTTTAGTGCCTTTAAATTTAGGTCAGTTCCTGAGATTCTTGCTTCCTGTCTTGTAAACTCACTCTTTCATAAATTACTATAGAAAAGAATAGGTATTTCTTATTAAAATTACAGACAACGTAATAATCACTTAATTCACATTTGCTTCAATGATCATTTAAAACTTTATGGGTTAGACTTTAATTCTGAGACAGAAGAGTAAATGTGTATGTATGACTTTAAGATTTAAAATAAAATCACCACTTACGTCTTTGTCCTGCAGACACTTATGCATATTCTATGTAATTCACATAAGTAGTCCCATTGACTAAAGTAAAGTTACACAAGTGTGTAAGTGTTTGCAGAATCAGAGGCATTATTGTGGAAGATTCTGACTCACTCTTAAACTCTCTTTACAAATCAACAAGGTGTTCCTTTCTAAAGTTTATATTCAGGTTAAAAAAAAAATCATGTGATGTAACAAGTTTAAATTCAGAGGGGTTTTTTTAGTTAATATATGCCACTTAAGTCATGGATCACACAGAAAATAATCCACTTTTTAACTACAAATAAGTGCTGTGATGGTGAAATATTTCCATTTGATTTGAAGAAAGGGGAAGTGTAGCTTCATGTGACTGGAGTAAGAGGTAAAGTTGGATTGAGTACATGCATGTTATGTATACATTCCAAACATTCGTTCTCCAAAGTTTTATTTACCTTCTAGTGAAATTATTATTTCTCTTATTTGGACTTGTAATCCTTAACAAAACCTTAGCAATTTGCACGATCTGCTAGACCAAAACAGGATTCCAAAGAAGAGAAAAGAAAAAGATAGAACAATGCTAAAGGTAAGTAGATTTAGTGAGAAAGGAAAAAAGAACATTCAGACTTTAAAAAGGAAAAGAAAAGAAAACAGTCCATTATTTGAGCACATAGATTTCCTTTGTAGAACTCCTCCCTCCCCTCCCCCCCCCCCCCCCCGCCCTATCAGGAAGCCAGTGTGCAAGGAGGCTGTCAGTTTTGACCTGTGTTAACATTTCTATTCTCCCTTTTAGAATCATAGAGTCTATATCCCAGTCCTCAAATGTAGTAATGATGTGTGTTGACATTCAATCCTCAAACCATTGACCCTACAGTTAACTTTAAGGGATTGTGGCACATAGGAGAGTGTAGGATACTGCCAGTCTAACACCTCAGAATCCTACTCCAGCAGGGCTATCGACCCCAGAAGTAATTACTGCTTCATTGCTATAACCCCATAAATAGTACTTCAGTTTCCTTGCTGGCATCTCCCAAGGAGTCTTTGCTTTGGTGACCCTATGTTTAATCAGTGGGATCTGTGCATCATTGCAGGTCCCTTTAAGCCTTGCTTGTCTAGGAAATAGCATGGTGTTAGAAAAAGTTTTAGCTAATGTGATATTAAACAAGATTTTCCCTTTCTGTGGACTTGGACAGTTGTGATTGAAAATGTGTTTGCTGCTTGTGGTTATCCCTAGGATATCTGTCCACACTGCCAACAAAAGCATATTTAACATCATGTTAGTTTGAAAACGTTCCTAGTATAGAGGAGGTCTTAATTTGAGCGTATCTGAGAAAATATGTCCAAAAAGTTCTTGTGTTTAAATTTGTTTATTGATAATTGTTAGTTGAAATGAAGTTGGTTTCAATGTTGCTGTTTCTGAAGGAAAAATAACAGCACATTTTCTTAAAATTGTTTTGAGATGCTCAGCATTGCTGTTGCTAATGAAATATTTATTAAAATAGACATTTTCTTGTAGATGGCTTGTGTCCACTGGAGGCCATGCTATCTAACCTATGTATTGTCTTTAGCGGTATTTCTAATGTTTTTGAATTGTTGGTAAGACTCCCTCTGAAACTTCTGGCTTGTGCAATATTGTGGTGGTGTGTAGTCTACTTTTGAATAAGCTTTGGTTCCATTCAGCGAAGTTAGCTGTTTGATTTTTATCAAATAAAAACCAAATGCTGTTCACAGATATTTTCTTACATTGGTTGAAGACATTCTAGTCTTCCCAATTTGTTCCTTTTAAAAAAAGAAGTCACTAGGCCAGTTTCTGACTACACTAACTACAAGTTTCAATTGGCATTCAGGTTATGTAAACAGAAATGACTAGATCTTGGTTTGATCACTAATCATGTTTTTAATAGTCAATTCAGAGTTACAGTACTATTTTGGAGTCAGCTGTCATACTTGCATAAGCTTTATTTACAATGTAAAAGGATTAGATTTGCAGTTAGCAAATTAAAATTAAAAGTCTAATAAACTGAGTTAGTCAAAACACCTTCATTTAAACCCAGGCTTTTGTATCTAAGTATCATGGAAAACATAACACTGTTGTGTGTACAGTTGGCCACTACAGAACTCGGGCAAAGTGGCGCAATGGAGGGCTAAGTTTCATTAACTTTGAATTGCTTTGCTTTTGCTAAAGAATAACCAACATGAATCCTAATTTTATTTGAATATATTTTCTTCTGTGGTTGCCAAGAGCCAGAATGACTTGATGTGCACTAGCTTTTGATGCAAAATAGTGGTTTCTATGGTATGAAATCTGGAGATTCAGGTTTATAAGTAAATTTTGTAAATCAAGTAAAATAAAAATACTGTAAAATATGAATTGTATACACAGCAAATGTAAATTGATACAGCCATACTACTTAAGTGTCACTTTATATGGCACTTTATTAGTGTCAAATTATTTTATTAAACAGTGAAAATAGCTAAATTTAATGGACAGTAATTATTCAAAGTATTACTACTTTCTTCTTTATGAAGATACTGTAATGCACATGCTTTCCCAGAAGATGAAAAATATACAGTTTTGATTTTTCATTGGCTGGAATTCCCCTTTCCTGTCACTAACTAATGTTTTCATGAACAGTTGGGTGCCCAGTTCTGATATAAATAAAATGCCAGCTTTATGAGAGAACAATGAAGAAGCTAATGTCGCAAAGGTTACTGGCTCCAGGGAGAGAGGTAGCCTAAAAGACTGCATTGGATGGAAGCACGATTTTAAAATAAATTAAAAAAAAAAAAAAAAGAAGCTGATGGAAAAACAGAACCTTATATAAAATGCAGACCACTGAATGAATGGGACAGTAAACGCTGGCATTTTCCTAATAGTTCCTCAATTTGTAAAGAGCCTCATTTGCTTATGGGAGTGGGAGTCCTCATTGGTGCACACATGAGCTCTCACTAATTTGCAGATAAGGGATCAAAACAGCTATATTTTATCAAACAATCTTGTAATAGGTAGTAAAGTTGTGTAAATGCAATACTGAGAATCAAGTAAAATTAAACCACATTCTGCTGTTCTTCTTTAGAAACATTCCTGCGTAAATACTGCAGTAATACTGTCATGCAGAGTGTATCCTTTCTTGTTGTATCCTTTTTTGTGCAATGTTTTCCATAGCACTCAAATACCTCCAAGTTCTCTTTTTAGTGTAGGTGCGGGGAGGAATTTATACTCTTTTTACAATTTTGCAAACCTCTGTTAAAATAAGTAAGATATTTTAAAATTATAAAGGGGACTTTTTCAGGGAGAAAGTTAGTGAATCCGGTCACTTATTTACTTAGAGGGACACCATGAATGTTTCTAGTCTCAAAATGTGACCTTTCCTCCCTGTTCCTTCTCTAAATCCATATAATTCTTTATTTTATGGGCCAGATCCTGAACTGGTGTAAATTGGCCTTGTTCCATTGACTTCAGTGGTGCTGTGCTGACCTATATCAGCTGATCAGCTGGCCCTAGATGTTCCTTTTTAAAAAATAGCAACACCACACTGTGTTAGAATGTTTCAGTTTTGATGGGGTGGTTATAAGCAGAAAACAATCCTTGACGTTGTCTTTTTAAGTAATACATTCATTTAATGACAGCTTGTGTCCCAGTTTATGGGACGCAACCTGCACTTAGTTTCTCTTGTAACTTTTTCCTTTTTTTAGACTAGAGAACAGAAAATCTAGCAATGTCTCATAATGAAGTAATGAAGACTGAAGCTAAACTTTATTCATTGCTACCTTTGTTTCCCACTTTCTGGTAGTGTTTTATGGCAACTAATCTATAATTTTCCTGGGGGTTTTGTATTACAGCATTCTGTGATTAACCTTACTTCTTTTTTTAAGTTTAATATAAACTAATACATGCTGTATGTAGTAAGCCAAATTTAGCTGGCTCAGACATGATTCACTAATTTTCTATATCTTAAGATCTTTCAACTTTCCAGTTAAGCTTCTGACAACTGAACACAGTAATTTTCCAGTCATTTATACTTTTAACATGCCTTTATAATGTTCCAGGTTCCTTTTGTGTTCCATCTCTTTCAAGTGTTACCAAGCCATGGGAAGAAGCAATGTGATCAACAGGACTGTTGAACAGTGCGTAGTAGAATTTCAAATGTTTTTAAAACAAGACTTAATTCTCTTCATTCTTAAAGGTTCCAAATGCTTTTAAACACATTGTAGCCTATCAGAAGACAGATATATGAAAAATGTATATTAGTCCGCTTGTTAAATCTCTAATAAATTATTCCTTTTCCCTTCACTTTGCGTCATACCTGCTCTTTTTTTTGTGAGGATGAGGTGTTTACCTCTTACAGAAACACAATACTGAATTATTTTACATGTTTATGCCTCAGAGCTTTAATGTCAGATAGGGTGACCAGATGTCCCCATTTTATAGTGACAGTCCCGATTTTTGGGTCTTTTCTTATATAGGCTCCTATTACCCTCCACTCCCGTCCCGATTTTTCACACTTGCTGTCTAGTCACCCTAATGTCAGAAGACACATTCCTAGGCTCCAGGGTGAATGATGTTTTCTTCCAGCCTTGAGGATATTGATGTGCTCTCTCAGAAAGTAAAAATGGGGATAAGAATCAGTTTTAGTGAATCAGGAATTCTTGTTTTGCCTTGGAAACAGTACTGAACTAATGCCCTGGTATTGTGTTGGGGGCACAGTACCAGCAGTAATTTTTTTTTTTTTTCATTCAAATGAAAGTGAGTTGCAGCTGGTCGTTTATTCTTGGATTGAGAATTACACTGCTATGACCGATGTCAATAAAGTAGGGACCATATCTGCAAAAATATATGAATAGTATCAAGTCCAAAGAGGCCCCAATCCTGATTGAGGCCTCTGGACATTACCATAAGATAAATACCAAACAATTATAATTTTAAACACTGCTAAGCCAAGGGAACAATGTAGGCTAGCATTCTCACTCAATTATTGAAGCAGCAGTGCTATAAATCAATGCTTTTAGGCTATCTGAAAGTATGCAATACTAATTTTCAGAACTATAGTGAAGCCAAGCAGTTTTATTTATTCTAAAATCATGTGGGAAAGACTATGTAAAGGTGCTTAATTTGCAGTGAAATACAAATATTTTGAGGAGCAATAAACCTTACCATCAAATCCAGAACTAGTACTTTGTAAGGCAGTTGGAAGGGGATATAGACCTCTCTCTTGTCCCCACTCCAGTAGCAACAGGGGAAAGAAAGATCACTCTTAGTACTTACTCATTACTATTTAACTAAACCTATGCAATATGTCTGCGTTCTTTCTTCAGTGAAACCTGGTTTTATTATCATTTAAAACGCTTTCATATGAGTTCTTGAGTTTAAGAAACCCTACTTGTTATACACCTCTACCCCGACATAACGCGACCTGATATAACATGGGTTTGCATATAGCGCAGTAACCCCAGGGCTCCAACAGCGGGGTTCGGGTGGCGCTTTAAAGGGCCTGGGGCTCCGGCTGCTGTGGGGAGCCCGGAGCTCTTTAAATCACCGCTGGAGCCCTGCCGCCACTATCCCGGGGCTCCGGCAGCACTTTAAAGGGCTCGGAGCTCTGGCTGCTGTGGGGAGCCCCGTGCCCTTTAAATCACTGTCAGAGCCCTGCCGCTGCTACCCCGATATAACGGGGTTTCACCTATAATGCGATAGGGATTTTTGGCTCCTGAGGACCGTGTTATATCGGGGTAGAGGTGTATTCTTTAATGCCTATGTTATAGAGGTATGTATGTGGGGAGATTAAGATGACTTGCATCAAAACTTTTAACACCGCTTTAATAGAACCTTAAACAGCACACCAGCCAAATAATCATCATAATGCTCTTTATTTTGAGCACAGCTTATGGAGATGGAACACTAGCACAAGCTATGAACAGACATTTTAGAAAACTAACCTGTTGATATAAAAGAGCAGGGAGCTTTGATTTTTATTTTTTTTTATAGTCTATCAAATTCATAGATTCTAGGACTGGAAGGGACCTCGAGAGGTCATCGAGTCCAGTCCCCTGCCCGCATGGCAGGACCAAATATTGTCTAGACCATCCCTGATAGACATTTATCTAACCTACTCTTAAATATCTCCAGAGATGGAGATTCCACAACCTCCCTAGGCAATTTATTCCAGTGTTTAATCACCCTGATAGGAACTTTTTCCTAATGTCCAACCTAGACCTTCCTTGCTTCAGTTTAAGCCCATTGCTTCTTGTTCTATCCTTAGAGGCTAAGGTGAACAAGTTTTCTCCCTCCTCCTTATGACACCCTTTTAGATACCTGAAAACTGCTATCATGTCCCCTCTCAGTCTTCTCTTTTCCAAACCAAACAAACCCAATT